AAATATTAAACCTTTCACGTCTAGGGCGAAGGCAATTTCGAATTATGCTAGGTGTGTCTAAATCTTGTGAATGCAGAATTTTGTATGCAAAAAGGGTTAATTTAGAAAAGAGAGAGAGAGTAATCAAGATATTCTTCATGAGAGTTGATTAGAATTGGTGAAAGAGAGAATTAGAGAATTGATGATTGAAAAAGGGGAGATATGACCTCTATTTATAGAGAAAAAAGAGGGTCAAAGAATAAGAAGAGAATCCGAATTCGAATCGAAATAGAACTCGATGGACAACATTTTTTGTGGATTTTGTTTTTATCATATCTTTTGATCCAGAAGTCCAAATAAGTCGTATAATATATCGTTGGAAAGATCTTGAAGTCTAATTTCCAACCCAATTAGAATCAGATTAAAATATTTTGGATAAAAAGATATGGCCGAAATAGTGGAAGGGTGTCAGTTTTGGATAGAGTTTCATATCTCATTCATATCTTTTTCGTTATAACTCGGATTTAATATTATAATATATCATTGGAAAGATAATTTCAAGATCTATCCAACCATATAAAGTTTGGACAAAGGTTACGAGGAACGAAAATAAAATCTGACTGTCTTTGAACATCTTTAAATTCGAATAGAATTAGGATTTAAGAAAAGGAAAGTTTTAAAAAAGGAAAGTTTTTATTTAACTCAAATTCTTTAATCTTATCTTTTCAAAAAGGATGATTAAGATCTTTTAGAAACTTATAGAAGCTTCTAATTAATCCTAATTATTTTAGTAATAGGATTCGACCTTTGGACCCTCCACATGATCATTGGGCCGTAGGTAAGATCCGGTTTGGGCCCAGTATTTTGGCCATAACTTCCTCATTATTCATCAGAATTGGGCTTATAATATATCGTTGGAAAATTCTTTTCAAACCCCATCCAACTACACTATTATTGGACCCATATAACGGACCAAAATAAACTGGAATACACATTTTTCAAAAATAAGATAAGAAAAGAAATATTTTCAAAAACAGAAAGAAGAGATATTTTAATAAAAACGTCCTCATCACTAGACTTTTCACACTTTTGCTTTGTTCGATAATCAAATGACATAAAAGGTATTCATCACTGGGTTTGGTTTTGGGGATACACAAATGGGTGTCTACAGCTTTCCTTGTTTTTGCGCGGCTAAGGTTTTTGCTTGTTACTTGAAGCATTTTCCCGTCTCGCTAATTCTTAAATTTTGGCTCGACATTTGATATTCTCCGAGGCTCGATTTCGACGCTCCAAGCTCGAATTTCCGACGTCTAAATATAAATTGCTCGGTCGACTCATTAATTCCTTCCGAATTAATTCATCGCTTTGGCTCGTTAGTTGCTTGGGTGTGACCCGAAGGTTCAATTAACATTAAGCTGTAATATTAATTATGCATTAATATTACTGATCGAAAGCGGCCTCCACCCAGGCAAACCGATCACTTGACCTTACTGAATATATTAGCTTTCTAATAATTCTTAACCCGCTATCAGAATAATACACTTGTTCGAAGGACACCATTTCTTTCAACTATAACCGACACTTATGTCATTGGTGGTTTGCTACTGATTTTAATGTCGATGGTATACCAACAAAAACCAAGTTAAGCTTAGATGGTACTCTTCATTGATACCAACGAACTCTTAGATGGTATTTCTTTTGATACTATCGAAAACCTTTTTGATACTATAGGGAATATTTCAAGCATTACCCCAAACTTGAACCCCACTGTGGTTATACACAAAAGTACGGTGGTGTCCAAAGGGAAAGAAGATAGAGCAAAAGAGTCGCCAACAAGTTTTAGGAACTTGTAAACCGTTCACAGGGTGAATATTACACCTCTTAACGATCCAATAGATCGTTAACTCCAATAGGTCTTGAACCATGACTGGTAGTTCGAGGATGAAGGTACAAATCCAACCTAAAAGAGATTGAACCTGCCCTAATAATAGGCCTCTACTTTATTCTGATCGTATTCATGTGCGCTTTCTGACTAACATGCAATCAATAGGTTTACCCTAAACCTGTTTAATCTATGTTGGTTGAATATTAATGCACAAATAAATCTATTATTGGCGATCACTTGAATTATAATCAAATTAACCCTTAAAAAGATTATTAATTATCTTATTAAACGTGATTACAAGTACAAAATTCTCTTTAAACATGCATAAAAGGCGTGATCAAGCAATAACAATAAATATCAAGCAACATAATAACAATAAATTATAATTATAATCATAATCATAATTATAATAATCATGTTAAAGCATAATATTAATAGCAAGATCCTAGGCATGATACTAACAAGATTAATAACAAACCCTAGCATGTCACTAAACAATAAAGATCAAAGCTTTAGCCCTAACATGATACTAACATGAATATTAGGAAGAGTAGGAAGCATCGCAGGAATCATAATAAGCATATTTGATATTATAACCTTTTCCCTAAACATGATACTAAGAATCATTGTAACAATCTAAGCATGATTTCTATATCATAAAATCAATAAATCAATTAAAGCACTTACTTGGATGCCTCGTACCTCTTTCTAATAACAGAATACACACGTTAGTAACTTCAAGGAAAATAATAAACAACCAATTAAATAAAATAATAATTGAAAGAGAGATTAGGGACTAAACCCTCAGAAATTAAAACCTTTCACGTCTAGGGCGAAGGCAACTTCGAATATGGCTAGGTGTATCAAAGTCTTGCGAATGCGGAATTTTGTATTTGAGAAAAAGCTAGTTTAGAAAAGAGAGAAAGAAAGTAATCAAGAATTTCTTGATGAGAGTTGGTGAATGAAAACGGAGTTTTTAGAAAGCTATTTATAGAGAAAATCAGCCGAAAAGATAAAAAAAAAAATCAAAACAGAGTTCTGACGCGCAAAACGAAACTAGCGCTAGACGCTGACATTAGCGCCTGGCGCCAAGCTTAGCGTCAGGCGCTAACTTAATTATTGACGCGTTTTCTAAAATCAGATAGAAATTGCCGTACATGAGGATAAAATCGTATTTTCCTCAAAAACATTCTTTTATTCTGATTAAAACTCTAAAAAGTCAACAAAAATCAATTTATCAATGCTAATTGAATTAGGAATGTAAAGAACCTTCTAGAAGAATCTAGAAGACTAAAACCATTCCTAATTGCATTAGGAATGATAAATCTATATTAGGCCCTCCTCTAGATCATTGGGCCACATATGAGGCTCAAATCGGGCCCAGTTTGGTAATTTGGCCATAACTTCCTCAATATTCATCGGAATTGGGCTTATAATATATCGTTGGAAATCTCTTTTCAAGCCCTATCCAACTACACTACCATTGGATCCATATCATGGACCAAACAAACTGGATTGGCTGTTTTCTTAAAATAGGTTTTCAAAAACAGAGAGAAGAGAAAAGAAATTAAAACTATCCGCAACACTGAACTTTCCACACTTTCACTTCATTCGATTGTGATTCAACGTGAAAGGTACCCATCACCGGGTTTGATTTGGGGAGACACAAATGGGTGTCTACAGATACCAACAAACCTATTTATATAATAATATTTACTTGTTTCTTGATTAATGACTTTTAACGGTACTAGTTATCACAACTCTACTACTTATTCATCAAAATAAATTATTTTAACAGTTTAACAACCCACCATGCTCCGCAATAATAATTCTTTAATTCGAGAGTTTTTACCAATACCTGAACTTAGTTGACAATGGAACCTCCGGCGTTCTGAGCTTCCGGCTTTACCAAGGTAGCTAACCCCAACCATGTCTTCCTTAGATCGGGCTCAGCACATATCTAATTTGTTTCCTACCTTAGACCATAATCTCTAATTAAACAATCCTTACTGTGTTTATGATGAAACTTTTTAAACAGAAAGATAACTCATTTGATATATAAAGTTCAAGGGGATAACGTTCCCTTCTTGAACAAAATTTTATTTAATTTGAAAAGATTATAGCACTTATATATTACAACACACACAAACTGAAAGCTTAAACCGACATAAGCTGAACTAGAGTTTTCTCTACTTTAAGAGAGATGAAGAACCAATCTTTCTCTTAAGGCGAGTATTTTTCTATAGAGGACTCTCTAAATCTTTCAGAGTAATTCTATAGCTAACCCTGCCTTCACTTCTTGACCTAAGTCCCTTTATATAGGGAAGCAAAGTTACATAGGATCCTTATCCTGACTTAGCAAGCAATTCTACACCATTGCTTTTTACAAAGATACTTTAAGACAGAAATAATTAGTAAAACATGGCTACAGTGAAGATTCCTTGAATTATTGATGGTGTAGGGTCAAGCATTCATAATTTCATCCATCATCATTTCTTGTAGGCTCCCCTCACTATCTTTGTTGTCTTCATACATAGGATTCTCTTCTCCTATGCCAAAGTCTACAACACATTTGGTTGCGTATTCTTAATCCCAACTCATGAATGCTTCAAACAGATACTCATGGCCTTCAAATGACAGAAACTTCCCACTTTCAATATCTTCTAAATATTTGTAGATTGACTTGGTGTTGTTTATGCCATCTACTAAATATTCTTTCATCTCGTTAGGCGCCACATTTTTGTGTTACCAACATGTAATATGACAGGAGGATTTTCTTTCCTTTTTATAAAATCGTTAAGATATTGTGAAATGTAGAAAAATCCCAGTGCTCTGGCTTCAATTGGATTTCTAACAGTCTTCTGACGAATTAGTATAGGATCTTTGCAACACCTCACTTTCCCAAACACTATCAAGTAATACGATGGACTAACTTTTCCTTTTTTAACTTCAATATTAGCACATTGCATCCTTGCTCCTAGCTGAAAGTCTTCTTTAATTTTTTGTCATCACAATATTTCCGAACCTTGTTGAATGCGTACTGTTGGAGCTTTGTAAGTCTTGGAAAGAAAGAGCCATAAGGAGTAGGGAATTCATAGAAATCATGTACCATTCCATAATCCCAAGCCTTGTAATGTATACTAATGAATGGAGCATTTTGATTAAGAGGATATGGGTAGAAACACAATGATGCAACTTTAGAGTTTTTAGGAAACTTTATTCTTTCTCCCTATAGATCTTGAAGATCAAAGAATTTACTGGACCTTGTTGCCACCAACTCGTACTAGGTTCTAAAATCATTATCTCTTATTTAATTTGTTTAATATTGTGTTTCGTAAATCAGGAATGAGCTGAAATAACATAATTATTACTTCGAACATCAATAATCTTTGGACTGCCCGATGGCAACCCTTAATTAAACCATCTCGTGAACGTTGTTTCGCTGATATGATCAAGCCTTGCATTAAGGCCCAACTGGAGGGTGAAACCCGCTCCATTGCCTTTTCGATCTCATCAATGAGTGTTTTCCTCTCTACATCCATCTTTTGAAGTTGGTATGTAGGAGGTTTTTGTGTAGTCTTGAGCTTCTTGGACGACATTAGCTAACTCTTTGGTCAAGTTGTCTGCCAAAGAATTCTTTGTTCTCTGTATATGTTCAACAGTAAAGGAGAATTGGTTAAGCCATAATTGCCAACGTAGGAGTCTCCCTTGCGCTTGCATGTTAGACAAATTCTTTTTTACAAAACCGAGTATGCCTTTGCAATATGTTCTTATTAAGAACTATTTAGGGGCTAAGAAGATTAAGAACTTCTCTATCCCTCTAATAACTGCAAGGATTTCCTTTTGCATTGTAGGATAGTTTAACTCAGCTTTATTAAAACTTCCACTGCTATATCTGCAAAGTTTTTCTCCTTCTTTGATTTTTAACACAGCACTCCAGTGCTCATTCCTAGCATCTGTTTCAAGGATTAAATCATCTTCAATAGTAGGCAGTGTTAGTACAAAAAGATCTTTACACATAGCTTTTAAATTTTGAACAATATGTATTGATTAAAATTTTGAAATAATTTTGTTGGAGTGAATATAATTTATTTATTTATTTTATTTCTTTTTCGTATTCGCCCTACGCAACTTGATTCTTGATTTTATCTCAATATTAAGTAGATTGTGAAAACTAGTTGCTATTAGTGATTTGGTATGTGGCGCAATTATTAGTGGAAGAAAAGTCTATATCTTGGTTTGATACTTCATTGTGGATGTCACACGTATTGGAGTCGTTAATACGTTGATGTATGTTAATATGTGATACATACACTTAGCCATATCACATAGCTTCTTCCTGTCCCTACACATCCAATACCTCTATCAATGTGTTTTATTATATGTGATCTAAAAAAGTTTACATATCTCTCATGGAAGAAACTTCAACGATGGAATTATCCTGAAGTTCATGCATTGTGCTACCTTTATGGAATTTTGGGTCATTACAAATTATTATTAGTCATGTCAAACAGAACTCAAATTTAATCTTTTGTTTTTTATGCCGAAAAGTCATTAAGGTCTTGCTCATAATTCTTCTACCGAATTTTTAACTTGCTGCAGTAATTTTTTTTTATCTGAATTGATGAGTGATTATCTAACTTCTCTTGGCTACCTGGCTATTAGTTGCCACAATGTATCTTTCATTGATTTTACACCATAATAAAGCATCTTATAGTACTCTACTATGGTGGTGCTACACGAGCGTTGTGCTCGAAGCAATATGGTGTTGTTAGTGTGTGAAACCGGAAATGTCATATCTTTAGGCTAATGTGTAGGTTTTGTTTAAATAATTATGAATTAATGAATATTAATTAGTGAATGTACATGTTGATAAATTGAATTGTATTAATAATTAGTGATTGTACATGTTTTTTGAAAGACTTAAATGTATAATTTATTTATTAGGTTATTAACTAAACTTTTTTGAATGGTTGAGGGTTTAAAAAGTAACTTGTAAAAAAAATCTTATTTTATATTAGTAAGTTATTTACAATATTTTTTATTTTTTTTTGTGACAATAAGAACTTCATAAATAAAGGACAAATTATAACCTAAGAGATCTAAAACAAGAAACTATACTAAATACAAGAACAAAACACACTAAAAAACCAAAAACATAAAACTTGGTAATGTGTGCCCTTGGGTGTTGGATGGGATCCACGAATGAAACCATAAAAACCTGTCAAAACAAACTATACTTGTGCATTGTATTGTCATCAACCCGTAACAACTGAAGGTTGCATAGTAACAGGAGGAAGTGTAGAAGCTAGGGCAGGAAGCTTGAAATAAGACCTTGGTACGTACACTTATAGAGCTTAACAAAGGAAGTAAGTAGTAAAAGAAACGAAAATCCTTGGCCTGATTGAGAGAACCTTATGAGCAAGACTAAATGCTCACAATTTGAGCAATCCCTATGACCCAAAGAAAGAATAGTCAAGAGGGATTCTAGGCTCAATACTACAATTTCAGTCACAATTTCATGTGACTCGGTACCCGTATGAAAGGGTACGGTTGGTCTCTCCTCTTCAAGTGGGATGAGATCCAACTTCACTAGAGCGCTATGAACCCCCAAACATTGTGTTCGGGGAGCCTCTTTTAGATTGAAATTTTTGAAAGCAATGAATTTTTTCATTGCTAACCAACACTGGGAATTACTATTCTTGACTAATTCCCTGAAGACACTCCTACACTCAATCATGGACCAAAACACACAGACCTTCGTCCTACCACAAATAACTACTAACCCTCCACCTAAAGACACCCTGCAATATGAACTATCTAACTTTGCACAGTAAACTAGGCACACACTAAAACCTACCAAACCAGCCCTATAGAGGAAAACACAACCCAACCTCAAACCCACAAAAAGTTGAAACACACTTTGAAAAAGACACCAAAATACAAGCACCTCCCTAGTCAAAGAAACAAAAACCATAAACACTTCCCTTAGCCCCTGAAAACACCTAGGAGCAGGACAATGAAATAGATAAGACAACCCACCCAAGCTGAGACTACCAAACAGGCTAAAAACAACCAACCACCCCAAACAAAGGCACTCCACTAAGATAAAGCCTAATTACCAAACTTATTATGGGTAAACAAATACGAAAACTTAACATAAAAAAACAAGGCAGCAAGAACACCGTGAGAACACAGGGGAAGGCTACAAGAACCTGACAAACCTCACAGGAAGCAACCAAAACTAACACCACAAAATCGTCAACGGCTACGCAGCAAGAACCCCTCGTTGAACCTAACTTGGTTACACGAGGAAACCCTATCCTTAACTTCACCTTTACCGTCGGGAATTATTTAACAAAATTCCTTTCGACGACGGCGTTAAGAGTAGCCTTTGGTTCCTATGTAGTTGAAATAAGCCGCAACACTTGACGAAATACCAAAAAGCCACAAACCCACCGAAGAAGATGCTCGGCGCTCCCCTGAAGTCTTCACCTACGGACCCTAAAAAGCAATATAAACCACTAGAAAAAGGAAAAGACAAACATACTAGGCTCGCCGGCGACGGCTAGGCAAAACTAGCCCTGTCGCCGGCGAGCAGGGGATGAGAAAGAGAGGGGCGGTGGAAGCGGTGAAGGATAAGAACAGGGGTTTCTAAAGTGTGTATCTTGTTCATATGTTATCTTCTTGTTATCTTATTCTTGCATAAAAAAACATATGGCCAAATACATATGATGTAACATTAAGGTGGTGTATCTACCTTATACTATTGGTATACGGTATGATGGGTTACAACTGCACCGTGTAATGAATGTATAGTACGTGTAGCTTAGTAAGCAAATATCTCAAACAAAATTATTTGCACATGTCACGTTGTTAATGTAGAATAATAAGCATTGTCAATAACAAATAAACGAATTGAGCGACATTTTGTACACCATATATGCTAACTTGCTAAGTCGTATGTCAAGTAGGAATAATGGCTTTCTTTAGCCTCATGGTCAGAATGTTACCTTTTTTTCTAAAATGATTAATACTACGTATGTAATTTTATGTTATAGTGATTATACAAACCGTTTACCTTCTTTAGTAACCTTTTAAGTGTTATATTTCATCAAAATTTAACTGAACACATGACCTCTTAAAAGTGATAACTCTCTCTCTCTCATATAAATATTTATATACATTTATAAATTTGTGATGTTCATAGTTAATTCATGCTTGCATATAAACCTCTTTCTTATGGTTTCACAAGTATAAAAACCTATCTATCTTTTCATTGATATAATCTATTATGGCTAATTGGTTATAGAAACATAAAAGAAGCAATTAGTTAACAATTTAAAACTATTATACCATAAGGTTAAAAAATTTTATTCTAAAGAGATTATTAATAAGTTTGTTTTTTTCATGACAAACACATAAATTTGTTGATTAATTTCACTAATTTCTCTCCATTCCCTCCTTCATGGACAATATGTCTCTTCCACAATTAAACACTAAAAAATGGTTTTTTTTCTACTACTCCCTACCTCACCCTTCCTCTGTTGCCCTAAGGGTTTGAAATTATAAGTCACACTTGTTCCCCCTCTAACTCATTCCTTACTCTATTGCCCCAACCTCATTCACTCGCTCTTTTTTTTTTAACTCCTAAATCATAATCTCTTCGTTCCCTTTATTAAATGGCTTTGAAAATTTATGGATATACTTTTTTTTCTCTCTCACTATATTTTTTTTTTTTTTTGTAAATTTGCAATGTTTATAGTAATTTTTACACTAAACAGTATCAAACTATCAATGTCTCTTTATTGCATATATAACCATAATTTAGAGCTTGCTATGATATGCAACTAATACGTGTAATCTTAAGTGTATTAATGTATTATTGTGTAAATTAGTAGCAAAAGGGCTTGTAAAACTAGTTAAAATCAAGCTCAGTTATCTTGAATATAATAGTAAAACAAAATTATAATACAAGTATACATCCAAAAAAAAGTGTAGCTACAACATTTGTGGCGATAAACCTTAATGTAATGTACATCAATTTGATGTATACACTAAAAAACAACATGGTGAGCTATATATATCTTGATGTCGCACAAGCAACTGAGCACCTGCTAGTGTAAGCCATTTCATGTCTGATAGACATTAAATTGTGCTTTGATGCAAATTTTAATTCAAAAGCAGCATCTCAGTTGTAGCTATTGATCATATTACCTCATATCATTTTCACGATAGCCAACATCGATCTAATCTCCTAGATTCTTTATGATCTCTCATCCATCCTGAGTTGTGATCTCATATCTATAGAGTAAAAGTGCACAAGGGTTACAACATAGATGTGGATTGCGGTTATTGATGTAGACTTTTACCAGTAGAAGGTAAACAAGTAAGATTATTGTCAGCTACCGAAACATGAAAACTAATAAACCCAAATCATATGTAAGAGGAAAACTCAATCACCTCTTTGACCTCTCTACAAGCCCCAAATATTAGACGCAGTTCCTCATTTGAAAGTTGAAACCGATGGATCCAAATTAAAGATTACTAATGTTCCCTGATTGATACCCTTCTCAGATGGAGATCCTAAAAACTTCAATGAAGAGAGAGTAACTTAAGATCTTGAAAGCCTACCGAAAGCAAAAACAAAAAAGTATTTACAAGGGAAAAAAACAGTCATAATGTGATATCATAACAAAACCTCTATGCTTGCATGCTGTATTCATAAACAGAATGAACTGATCAACAATCAATATATTCAGGATCGAGACAGAAATTCCCATCGACAGCACCTCAGACAGGAAGGCATAGTTAGTAGCTGAAATAGCTATTCTAGAATTCCACCACAAATGCTAAAGCATGAACTGAGTATCAAACAGAACTAACAGCCTCAGATCAAACTATATGGTACAATCACATTATTCCACTTGGATCAAAGTATACAAAAAAAAGTAGCTGAGCATTTTAATAGCTTTATAAATATGAAACTAATAGTCCAATCAAAGCACTAAGGCTTTATCCTTACTTACAAAAACAAAACCAAAATTAATTCTATAAACTAACTCGACCACAAAAAGCCCATAATTATCAATCAGATTTACTCTATAGAGGCTAGTTACTAGTATTGAACATCAATATAAATTTACAAAGAACACTATAAATAAATTGCCATTACCCGATTTTGATGTTGCCAAGTACTCCCTCCGTTTTTAAATACTTGTTCCACTTCTATTTTTTGCACTATTCATTTGTCCTACTTTGACTAATGTTTGTGATTTATACATAAGAAAAAATACAGTGTTGTGGGTACTTGTTGGAATCATCTCAATGAATAGATTATTAATTTTCAATTGTTAGAATTTATACTTATTGATAGTTAAAGATATTAGTGATTAAAAATTAACATCGGTATGCGTGTCCAAGAGAAATGGAGCAAGTATTTAGAAACGGAGGGATTAGTATTAAACTTCCTATGTCAATACATGTAAAAATGACTATAAAGACATTTAACAGTATAAACATCTCATATATCAATTGATTTCCCAACCATTTTAGGTAAATCTCACCAAATTATTTACTCCCTCCATTTTTAAATACTTGCTCCACTTTACTTTTGCGACCGTTTTTAAATACTTGCTCCATTTCCTTATTTGGAAAGCTTTTACAATATTTAATCAGTTTCTCTCACCTAGTGGTCCCAACATATATTCTCTCTCCTCCAATTCTCTCCACAACTTTTGCTTTCTATAATTTTTTATTCTTCCACCAACCCCACTACCTCCATATTTTATTACTTTCTCTAATTTCTCCTAAAACTCCGCTCATGGAGAAATGGAACAAGTATTTAAAAACGGAGGGAGTATTAGATAGGGATAAAAAATACTATATATATAAAATTTTTGAACTTCAGAAATAGAAAAAAAAATACCTGAACCAATGAAAGTAGGAGTCTTAATGATATTTTCAACAAAAGGAACATCATAAACAAGGTTCTTTAGCAACATGGGATCAGCACCAACTATTCCCACCAGCTCTAACACAACAATTCGCCTCTGCCTTGACAAACAACGGTCCTTCCCTGGTACAATCAACAATCAATTTACCCTCGGGGCTAATAGTTAATCGCCCTGCAAGAGGGTAGAAATTAACAAGAACCTAAGACAATGATTTGCTAACAATTTTTGCAGCATCCGCATCTCCTTTCTCTAGTGACATTCAAAATTTCGTCACATTCAATTCATATTACTGGTTTTCATTAGGCACCGGATGGGCAACAAAAGTACATATTTTTTAGTATGACATCTGTCAAACCAGATATATCGATTTAAGGAGTTTATGCAATAAGTCTATAACATCTCATATGTTGCTAAAAGAGAAGAACAAACCTATAACCATAAGATTCACATATGCATACTATATCGTTTTATGATAATAGCGGGGAGGGAGATGTGATTGGCAAATTATAAAGATTTTCCTTTAGAAGTTAACTTATCATTCTTATGTCAAATTGCTACCTCAAGCCGAAGGCCTGACAATGAATAGAACACAACTGAGTTCCACCTGCCCGACTTCCTAAACATTTCATTCCCCAAAATGAAAAATCGCAAGTATTGAATCCAAGCCAGCAAGGCAACATTTCTATCAACTTTTATGATCCTAGTAATAATCTTGGCACATATAAGTTATATATCCAATTGCAACTAATTTCAGAAGAACAAAAATCTAGACAATTGTAATAGATCACCATAAGGCCCAACCCATCCAAGTGTACACCCATAGGTTGACAAACCGTAGGTCAACAGTTAAGAAGCGGCTACCAATAAAGGGACAGCAGAAGCAAAGAAAAGGAAAACAAACAACAAGCCTTAACAATGTCTGATTATGGTTTTGCATTTTTAGTTAAGGAGTCACATGTATCCATCTTTAGTCTTAGATGTCTTGAGTATAAATAGGGTAGTAAACTTAGTAGTGAGATTAGGCAGAAAATTGTGAGGAAAAATTGGAGAGTTGCAACCTCAAGTTGCTAGGAGATTTGTAGCCTCAAGCTGCTGAGAGATTCATAACCTCAAGTTATGGCTATCCTTACGTACTCCAACCTTTAATCAATCAAATGTTCAAGCTTTCAGCCTTAAATTGATATTAATTGTGCTTAATTAAATCAGTAGAATCCAGTCTATAACAACAATCTACTCTCTTCAACAGCTAATAACAAACCATTGAAGATAATTTTTTTCTTCTTTCAGAACCATCTTGCAAGAAGCATTCTAAGCAACTGCATAATTAAGTTAAAGTTTAGGCATTTTAGCAAATCAATAAACGGAAGCCAAGCAATAAACACAATGTCACACTAATTAAACAATCAAAATCATTTGTTTCATCTCCAAACAAAGCCAGAACCTAATTCCTTCACCAATTGCATAAATTAACCACAACTCTAGAAAATAGACAAATCAACCCAATGTCGCACTACAACAAAGATCAAATCTTTCGCTCTAAAAAAACAATCTTTATGCAAGAAAACAACATATTTACCAAAAATTGATAGAATTAAACGAATTTCTAAAGCAATCCAAACCTTAAAATTACCCGGGAAACATCAAAATAAAGCACATTCATCATAAACGACAAACTCCTGTTAGCCAAAGCAAATTCATCTTAAACAACAAATTCCTGGTAGCTAAAGCATATTCATCTTAAACGACAAACTCCTAGTAGCCAAAGACGTAACAAACGCAAATCTCTTAACAATCTTAAGCACTAACCCCCAACACCATTGCATCCCCAACAAAGCGGTTGAACAGAACCCAACCACCCAAGATGAAGACAGAGAATGTCATGACAACAGAGACGTCCGTCGCAAAAGTCCAAAAACAAGAGCCATTACTCAATGATTATAAAAATTCACATTAAACCAACCTTTATAGCGCCATCCATGGAATTAAATTAAGATAAACTAGCATAAATTATCATTATCATCTGCTTCATCAAAGATTTTCACAACAATCTGGTGATAATCACTTGGGGATAATTTCAATTCCCAAATAATAACAAGAAAAACCCAATTCAAACACAAAAGTACAAAACCCATATAAAATAAATAGATTAAAATAAAAGTATAATCAACAATCTTTACCCCTTAAAATCAACAATCAAAAGGCTTGAATAATCAGGAAAAAAAAACAACAAAAGAAATGTACCTATTGCGTTCATAAAGAAGGAAATCTCTGATCTTAGCGAATTTCTTATCAGCTTTATTAACCAAAGACCGGTAGATTTCAATCATATATCCCACTATTGTGTTGCGCTATTTTATAGTATCATTCTCTTCTTTCTCTCTCCTCATCAGACTCAATTGTCCACCTAGAAAAGGGTCTAACAGATAGAGAAAGAAGAAGTCTCTTACAAATAATTTAACATACCCAGAATTAAAATTTTAAAAAACAATTAAAATGAATACAAACCAGTAGAAGAATGAAGAACATGAACAACAACAACAACAAGATCTCGAGGTTAAGCAAGGTCATCAATACCAGAGTCGTCATTCCAGTGACCAATACAAAACTAATATATTCATCAATTCATTTTAACATACTTAAACTCAACCTAAAAAAGAAAAAGAATTAACCTTAAATAGCTTATCTGGGAGTCTTGAATTCCAAACTAATGCTCTTCCAAAACCTGTTCCTCCTTTCCCAGGTCGCTTTCCCTTTCCAATTTTCTTCAAGCTGCAATTTCCATAATATTTTTAAAATAGGATAATTTAACTTAATTATTTAACAAATTTAGCATTTTACAGAAATGGATGATTACCTCAGAAACACTTTGCTGCTTCAAGGCCTTCTCGGTCTATTTTACAAATAGTGAAATGTAAATTAATTATATGATAACATAAATTCTATAGGATTATATAATAAGATCAAAATTCAGTTAATCGAAGTAAATGATATTCCTTCTTAACCATGCCATATTGTATTTGAAGTCTCATCTTCTCTCCATTTCTTCTTTAGGAATATTTTTCCCTGAAATTAGGGTTTTCACATTAGATAAATTAATTGAAAATCCACAAAATTAGTTGGTACTTAATTAAATCAAAATTTACCCATAAAAAAAAAAAAACAAAAAAAACTTTCAAAGCTCTGGTTGGCAAAACTTTTGAAGTTCTTGTTGGCAAAACTTTTGAAGCTCTTGTTGGCAAAGCATGCTTCATCTCCATAGCCTTCCAGGTAAGAGAAATGCAAGAGAGAGAAAGCGAGAAAGCTGAGAGAGGATTAGAGGAGTGAGAAAGTTGATGCATTCAAGCTAAGTTGAATTGCTAGAGCTCTGAAGTATAGTAACTCATCAAGCAAGAAAGGAGAAAGAAGAAAATTCCAAGGTAAAAAGTAAGTCAAAACGATTCACAAAACAAAGGAAAGGAGGAAAAAATAACACATCAGCTCTTTCACACATGCGGTTACCGTTAATAAGGGAGCAAAGTGAAAACTTTTAAGGGGTGAGGATATCTCGCATCTTTATATTTGTAATATATGTTTATTGAAGTTTTAGGGTTAAAATACCACACTAAAACCCCATCATAGTTCCATGTTGATCTTATAATGGGTTTTTCTTGTTTTGCGGTAAAAGATCATATACTGATCCATTCTTTCTCAGTATGCACATATATACCCAGACTCATTGTATATCAACCTCTGATCTGCATCTGCATTGTCAGCATCATCACTAATATAATCAGCACCATATGGATTCCCTGGTATTAAGAACGATGTTTTCTTTAGGTGTTAGATGTAGCTCGAACCTCCCTCTTGTAAAATTAATTTCTTATAGACTAGAATGGACCTCTCCGTTTAGTTCCATAAATTGAGCAGGCAGCAAGGTGTTTGTAGGATGGCTAAAGCTCTACAAGCAAAATTAATGAAACTGTAGCTTACTCAATGATGAGTGCTTAACTCATCAGAAGTGCTCTGTAATCGGTTGTCAGCGGTTAATGACTCATGTGTCTTTTGATTTTTCTTGGACAGGGTGGCCATCATTTGCATACCGAAAAATTGTGTCGTGAATCTTGGCATACCATATGGCAAGCAAGAAGAGTTTGCTACTGTTGGTCAATTGATGGAAGCCGAAAGCAAAATAACCTGAAGGTGAAACGATGTAGAGCCATTGGCGGTGGCACTTTGGCAGCAATGTGTAATGTCAATATGAAAATCAATACTGCAAAGAAGGTAAATATACACAAAAAGGGCTATAGCCATTGCTTGAAGATGGTGATTTGAGGGTTTTTGAAAGTTTCATATTGAGGAAAGAGGTCGTTATGAACCAAATTAAGCTAGTTGTTGAATACAAAAGCATGGCCAACTTAACCTGCTCATAGTATCAAGGGAATTAAGTAAATGACTTCTGATGTATGCAGTTTACTAGGTCAATCATTGCTAATTCTGAAGTTGGAAAGTACCCTAATTCTTTTCTTTTTTTTCCGTCTTGTACTACATTATTTTCTCTCTTGGGTTTTATAGCTCAATTCAATCAAACACTTATTTGGCAACTGTTGTAAATATTTAGAGACGAATATTCCGTGTTATTTACTATTGTTTGGGTCCAATTTAGTCCAATTGGGCCTGGTCACTGAATGATCCAATTAAAAGCCCAAGGTTAAGGTTCAACTCTCCAAATGTGCTAAAGTCAAAAATCAACATCCTCAAAGCCATGTCAAGGTCAGTCAACGGCCCAATCAGCTTGGCCCAGCCCAACTGACTTCCGGGCCCAATCCGCCTCCTTCATTAGCCAAGGTATAAAAGCCAACAATTTGGTCAATTCTTGGTAAGACAATAAAGCCTCAAGCAACTAAACTCTTGCACAGCTTTCTCTCTCTAATATACTGACTTAAGCATCGGAGGGGCCTTCCTCGGCGTCCCCCCCGAGGCTAGTTTACGTGTATTTGTTGTGCAGGAAACCCTCGGCTCCTGCGTTGTTCGGACCGAGACCAAGTTCCCTCAAGATAAAAGGATCTTCCGAGATTCGATTGTTTTCATCCGAAACAATTTGGCGCCGTCTGTGGGGAACGCTACTAAATTTCGCGTCAGTCATCAAACACTCCGGCAGTCGCCATGACTAAGAGTGGAAAGAGTTCCAAGAAGGCTAAGAAGGGAGGAGGCCGGATTACGGTGAGGGAACGCCAGCCGGTTTATCCCTCCCCGGAGCAAGCCTCTTCCGAATCGGAGGCCCCCATTTCTCCGGAAAGGGAAGCCTCAAGAGGTCCTAGCCTCCAGGAGGAGAACACCTCGCACCACACTCGGCAGCCGGGGCCATCCCCGAGACCGAGTGGCTCAGGTGCGAGGAACTCCCCGCCGCGCCATAGCGTGCAATCCAGGTCACATCCGCGGGAGACTCCTCCCTCCGGACCCTCCACCGAGGAAGTGGCCAGAGCAGTGGCCATCTGCATGGAGTTCCTTAAAGCTCAAGGGGCTCCAATCCAGATGCCTGATGATCACCAGCCGAGAAACCTGAAAAGGAGGATCGGTCAGGATGATGGTGGACAAGTTCCACCACATAGAGAGCTCGGCCAGAGGTGGCGAGGGGACACCCGAAACTCCAGTAAGGAGAGGAGGAGGAACCCTCAACCCTCTGACCACTCTGAAGCTCAGAATTCCATGGGGCCCTCCAAGGACCCGGAATTCGCCCGCCAAAGCGTTCACGAACGCTTGGGTTCGAGGGAGGTGAGTGTGCATAGCCGCCTCACCTTCCCAGAGGATACCGGACCCCACCCAACCTTGTCTCAGCCGGGGACGAAAACCACTTCCACCTCTGAGAGAGGAGGGAGCGAGGTCCCTGAGGCCGGGTACAAGGGGAAGGCGGTCATGGTTCCATCGAACTCGCCCTTCCAGAAGTGGATTCTGGAAGAGCATGTGCCAACGGTCAAAATCCCGGCACATATTACTTACGATGGTACCTCAGATCCTAAGGATCACATTGCCTCTTACGAGGGGCACATGTATCTGAACCCGAGGTCTGAGGCTACCTGGTGTAAATACTTTCCTACGACCCTCAAAGGTGTTGCCCAATCCTGGATCACCAAAGGGCTCAAGGAAGGCTCCATAACCGGTTGGAACGACCTCTCCAACAAGTTCAAGAGCAAATTCTCTACGGCCAACCGCCGAGAGAAGACCACTGCAGAGCTAATGAGTCTGCAGCAGGCGGAGGACGAGAGCCTCCGCGACTATCTGACTCGCTTCAGCAACGAGTCATCCGGAATCACAAGCCTGGATCAAGGCCTGGCCGTGTTCGCGCTACGGAACGGCCTCCAAGCTGGAAAGTTCCTGGACTTCATGGTCATGCATCCCCCGCAGACCCTGGAGGAAGCCTTGGAAGCATCGGATAGGTTCATCCGAGCCGAGGAGTGGAACAGATCCAGGTCTCAGTCTCGTCCGAGAATTGAGAAGCCGAAAGGGCAGCAGCCCGAAGTCTCGGCGCAGAGGAAAGGGAAGGCTAAGGCCTCAGAACCGTCCTCTGCTGCCGAGCCGAAGAAGGAAAGACACTTTCCCTACACGGGAAGGTACGATTCATACACTCCACTCTCCCTTCCCCGTGCTAAGATTTTCAGCACGACGAAGGACGAGGGGAGATTCAAAAAACCTCGTCCGTTGCCTCCCTGGCATCAGACGAGGGGAAAGGACCAGTGGTGCGAGTTCCATGACTCACCCGGACATCGCACCGAGGACTGCGTCCAGCTGAAGGACCAGATTGAGGATCTGGTCCGCAAGGGGTACCTGAGCCAATACCTCGCGGACAGGCGCGAGGAGAAAAAAGCTGAAAAAGATTCTCGGCAGGACCTCAACTTCGCTCGGAAGAAGGATAAGGGACCTCAGGGCAAGGAGTCCCTCGACATCCTAGTTATTTCCGGGGGAATCTCGCGAGGCACAGCCAAACGCCAACTGAGGGGTCTAACCCATCAGATTCATCAGGCTGAGCTTCGGCAGTCCCAGTCACCGGCGCCGAACATCCTGTTCACAGCCGAAGACTGTGAGGGGGTGGTATACCCCCACGATGACCCACTAGTAATCATTCTGGGCATCGCCAACCGCAACGTCTGGCGGACCCTCGTCGACGGCGGTAGCGGGGCGAACATCCTCTTCCGAGGAGCGTTCGACCAGCTGAGGATGGGAGCCGAGCACCTGGCCCCCGCACCCTACCCGGTGTCTGGATTCAACGGCTCTTCCTCGTATCCTGACGGGAAGATTACACTTCCTGTCACCATCGGCGAAGGCCGAGCAGCTAGGAATATCATGGCCGAATTTTTGGTCGTAGATGCTCCATCTGCATACAACGTGATCATGGGGAGACCCCTCATTCACGGCATTCAAGGAGTCGTCTCCACGTATCATCAAATCATGATATACGTTTCAGACGAGGGACGCTCCGAGAAAATAAAGGGCAGTAAAAAAGAAGCCCGCCGATGCAATCACCTCAAGCCATCCACGTCTCGCCGAGGCGACCGTGGCGATGGGGAGGAAAAGCACCGGGACTGAAACGCCAAAAAGCCGAGAGGCTCAGACGTTTCGGCTAATGAAGCCCCAGACAACGAGAAATCTGATGGGGGCCAAAAGGCTGACTCCGCCTCAGAGCCGAACGACTCTGATGGCCAGCCGCGGTCAGGAAAGTCTGCTAATATTGATAGCAGGCCGGAATTCGAGGAATCCAACTCTAAGAGCATGGAGACGGATGACCTGACCGAGTCAATAGAACTGACCGTAGGAGATCCGAACAGATGTGTTAGCATCGGGTCGTCACTGGAGCCAAACACCCGTGCGGCACTCGTCCAACTCCTACGGGCCAGTGGAGACGTGTTCGCCTTCTCAGCCGCAGAAATGCCCGGGATTGATCCGGACTTCGTCTCCCATAGGCTTAATGTCGACCCCTCCAGTCGACCCATTAAGCAGAAAAAGCGGAACTACTCCGCCGAAAAGAACCAGAACATCGCAGCTGAGGTCGATAAGCTCCTAGATGCTGGGTTCATTGAACCCTGTCAGTATCCGGAGTGGCTGGCCAATGTTGTAATGGTTCAGAAGGCAAATGGTAACTGGAGGATGTGCGTTGACTTCACGGACCTGAATAGGGCATGTCCCAAGGACTCCTATCCGCTGCCGAGGATCGACCAACTGGTCGACTCGACAAGCGGGCATGCTCTGCTCAGTTTCATGGACGCATTCTCGGGATACCATCAGATCTTCATGCGCCCCGAGGACCGAGCTAAAACAGCGTTCATAACAAGTTCCGGGTTGTACAATTACAGAATGATGCCCTTCGGATTGAAAAATGCGGGGGCAACATATCAGAGGTTGGTTGATCAGGTTTTCGCCGAGCAAAAAGGCCGAAACATGGAGGTTTATGTTGACGACTCAATCGTCAAAAGCATAAAAGAAAAA